AGTCTAACCATATGAGTTCAGTCGTGCATCTTTAGTGCCACCAAAAATAGCTGAAATGCACATATGCACTGGTCAGTCAAGTTGGAGTTACACAGTGTAACTAAATCCCGAATGCTCGAACCCGTGAGAATTTCGTCCCACTCAGTGTTCTCCTGACTGTGATTCTCACTACCATTAACCAAACCGTTGTCGTCGCCCCCAACGCAAATTTTGTTTGCCCTTGCTCTCATACCCGATTCTGTGATCCGATATCAACTCAATTCAATTAGCTTTTGTAGTTTGAGAATTTGGCTCATCACATTTAATCACTCACTCCTTGACCTAGTTTAAACTTGTGAACAAATTCACTAGCTCTCTACATAGTAACGCCAAACATGTTATCGGTGCTTTGGACTGCCTCTGTCTCTACCTCTTGCGTTATCTGGATACTGCTGTGTAAACTATGTCATTACATTGACGGCTCAGGCTACGTTGCATAGCAGTAATGACCTGACAATATTTCAGATTGATGTGATTGGAGATCACATGCATGGAAAGCACTTCTTTCGTGAAGCCTATGGATTTGTTCCTGCACTACGCACAATTGAATCACTTTGGGTGGCAGTACCGTGTCTGTAAGGCAGAGATTGAACGTCCACCGTTCAGGGTAGCCTCCCTTCCGATTGCTCAGTCACATGAATTCAGCGTCCGGTACATGTCACAATACATTTAGACGACAGGTGACTTTAGGTCACAGTTATTGACTATTTGCTATTGAAAATGCCAGTGGCAGCCAACCAAGGGTAACGTAATCAGGACCACTTAATGGAAACTTGGTTGCCAAATAAACAATATGTTTCCTTCTGATCAGTCTCCCCTTTTGATTCTCGAAATTCTTTACACGACACGGTAACAAGGAAAAAAAGCAGCCGATGAGCAAGCAGCTGTTTTGTTTTGGCTAGCCGCATTCTCTCTCCATGCCGATTTCATTATTGATGACGGAGGGTTTGTCTCCCTAAAACTGGCGCCTGTGAAAAGCCAAGTGGATGGATTACCCTACATTAACGATTGTACAATTATCCGGATGTACAATTATCCGGTTTATTACCATTTGGCGATATTTGGACATGCTATTGTCGATGAAGCAAAAGTGGCACTGGAGACGAGCGAATTGGGCGGTGAACCACAAGACCTTAAAAAGAGTGATGGTCGGTGCGTTCTGTGAAGGCATAGCCAAGAAAAATTAGCAACCCTACGTGTATTGATAGAAACCGATTCGCAAGTGAATCCGTCAACAACTAGGAAAATGAGCTAAACTTGTTCGCAAGAACATGATCACTTTGTGAGTGCCTACCTGATTGCCTGGTGAGAGGTCGAATTGTACTTGTCATTCAGAATGGGAACATTAGGCAAATTCTATGGCAATAAAGGGACCTGACGCTAGACCAATGGATCGACCTTCGCAACAGCGAAACATTAACAGCGTTTCCATTTCTTCAGATAGGTCCTCACATAATCACTGGACTGTGTGCTATTTCTCAGCCCAAGTATGCTATGTTGCAGACTGCTCCGACAAGTGGACCAACCTACAAATGACACCCTACCGTGCGGCCGCACTTTAACTCGTCTCTCGCTTCGCCCTCTGTGGCCACCCCAATTCTCCCCACACAATATTGTGCGTGCGCTCGTTAGAACCCTTTCGACGAGCTCTGCTCAGTGCTTTCCAACTCCTGGATCTAAACCGTGTGGATTACACTCTTGCTCCAGTTCTCAGTTTTCGGTATATTCTTTGCCGAATTCCACTTGTGTAACTACATCAGACCGGTCGTTCGGAAAAGATTTTAGTCCCACCGGGAAGAAGCAGTTGCGGACTCCCGAAGTACGCGGCAACCGTCCCTGCTAGTTGCAGCATAACAAAGTTACAGCCTTTTTGCTCCGCTCATCAAATGAACAGCTCTAGGGACGCTTATCAGCGCTCCACCTGCATCGTCGCCTAAGGCAGGCCGGCTAACACACGCTGCCGCTTTGTGTGGGTCTGTGTACCAATGCGAGTCGATTGATCGCTGAATCCGACAGTCTGCGTGTTACGACCTCCATCTGCCTCTCCGCCTGACCTTGGTGCGTTTGAACAACTCTCAATTCGTGTGCGTGTTCCGACCTATTCGTGCGTCACCCATAGCGTAAAGTACACTCATCAAGGTGAGCGCTCAGATAGGCTTTGCTGTAAACAATCAGGACGACTAGCATTCCAATGGTTCAACTTCGGCAATGTTGCGCAGACGATTGCAGTAAAGTCCTTAAGATCAGTATTACCTGTTCCAGCTGCATTAGATCGTACCGTCCGCAATGTGTAGGCGAATCCGTCCAAGAAGTGAGACAGAGAAACCAAGTTGCTGACAATTTGGTTTCGTCCACCATGTCAAGTCATTCCAGGTTGTCAACTGTTTATCTTTGCTCATGAAAAAGTGCGATGAGATGACTGAAGTAATCGCGCATTTTGTAAATACTAAGATCGCTCCCTCGGAGGTAAATATGGCCACGATAATACTTCTGCCGGCCAAAGTAAGCTCTGGGTCTTAACCGAAGAGAAGAGCTAGATGCTCCAACCGCACTGCAGCGTCCGTGACTCTAAATCCTCTGGGTCACCTCACTTCCATAAGTGGGCAAGCCTCAAACATGCCTGCTTCCACTTCTCCAAACATAGAGGCTTCACCTGGAGTTTCAGCCATGACACGGACAGCTCAGAGCCGTAGGAAATCGGGTGCAGATAACAAGCAGGTAACGTACTCATCGACTGCCTTGACAAACACACCGGGAGGGACAAACATAGGTCGAGCTTCAGTACCGAGCACACGTGGCGCAAAGCAGCTTTCAAAGTCAACTCCAATGGTGCCCTCTAAACAACCCGAATTGCTGGTAAAAAGTATAAAGCCAACACTCGATAGACAAAACCACGCTGTTTTAACTCTCATGTGCACCAATGTTCCCGAATTCAAATCTGGTACAATAAGAGGCAAGTTGCAGGACGATCGCAACCAGTGGAGTTCCATCTGCGAGGCGGTTGGCATTCGGGTTGAGCCTGCAATGCTGTAACGCGCAGCGCGTCACCCGACCTCCGTGCACGCTGGTGAACGTCGAATTCTTCGAGTAACACTAAACTCAGCAGATGAGACAGAGGCTGTCCTGTTCTAAGCAGTTCGTCTTCGCAACTCACCAAGCGGAGTGCGCATATTCCCTGATCTGCCTTGGAAAGATCGCCCAAAAGAAGCAATTGAGCAACGCGGGATTGCTAATAGGGATAGCAAGAAAACAATATTTGTTCATGGTGTTCCTGAGCTTCTGCATTTTTCTGATCATGATGCGCAAACACATGACCGAGAGCAGTGGTGCTACATCCGCGAACCGCTCTCTGTTGACAATGTTATTGCCAAATCCCTGACAAGAGTTCCGTCATCACCTAACTACAAGGGCTGCGGTCTAAGGCTAATGGGAGTAATAATACACTCCAAGGGAATGACGCAAGTTTTGTTGGATAGCTGGTTAAAGTTTCCAGCTAGGTTTCCAACAGAGATCCGTCTAAAGGCAGCACGCGAACGGCCAAAATTCGGAAGCAATTCAATGGAATTTGCAAACGTTACAAATTCTTTATTTGCGCAGTCCTGCGGCGAGACCGACACAAGAGCGCCCACGGCACACAGGAGGACCCAGCACAGTCAGAGTAAAATATCTGTTCAGGAACGCTCAATAATGCGAAGCAACACGACTGAAACACATAAACCAAAAAACGATTAATGGCCGGCCACCTAACGGCCGGCTCACAAACTAACACAAACTTGACATCTATCACTGAACTGCTAACAACAAAAGCCCTATCTTGTGTGTACACCAATGCCCAAGGCCTTCTAAGCAAGTTGGCCGAGCTTAGAGAACTCCATGCTTCACAACCTCGGGATCTCGTCATGATTACAGAGACATGATTAACCCCTGAGATAACCGATTCTGAGATAAATTTACCCGGCATCTCACTGCTTCGGACCGATAGAACCGGAAGGGGTACTGGTGTGATTCTTTCCTATAATACAAACCTCCGACGTGAAGTTATCGATCACCCGAAAATCCGAGCTCCTGATTCGTTTTGGTGCCGCCTTTGGTTGCGAAACAAGGACACATGTCTACTAGCCATGATTTATGGCTCACCAAACTCAACATCGGAAATGGACTCCAAACTGCACCACGTTTTTCAGTTTGCTTTGAACAAGTCCTACTCCCACATTCTTATCGCGGGAGACTTTAACGTGCACGACGTAGAAACGCCGGCAATCGACGGTATGCAGTTTAAAGCCTGTTTGCAAGAGCTTATTGCTAGCCACCCTCTTTACAACCACGTAACCTCCCCCACCAGATTTCGAACTGCGAACAAGCCGTCGATACTGGATCTTGTGCTAACTAACGAAGAACTCATGGTTTACGGGATAATTACAAACCAACCACTAAGTCGTAGTGATCACGTCACTCTACTCTTTGATTATATGTGCTATGCCAAATAGCCTGAAAAGGAGGAGGATAAAGTGCATACTGTAACACACTACAATGTGTTATCTACGCTTGTTAAGGAAACATTTTGGACTTTCTTAACCGAATGCTCCCCAGATGTTGCCTGGGAAAGATTTACAAGGACGTTTAGCACACTGATAGCGCACGCATCAGAACAGAAGTCCTTGCGACCCAAAAACAGGCGTAAGTCATTTCTGAGGAGCAGAACACGTAAATGTGTGTCCTAGAGGAATTTGGCATGGCGAAATCACCAGGACTGCCAGAATGCCGAAACCTGGACTGTATACGTGACACATCGTAACTGCTGTGTGCAACTGATCCACGAAGACAACTTCAGGCATCAGCAAAAGTTAATGAAGCGATTCTGCACTAACTGCAAACTCTTGTACAGGCACGTTAACGGCCTTCGAAAGGTAAAACGAGGGGTTCCAGCGCTAGTCAGTGCTGATGGGTGCACGCGATCAGTAATGGAAGCAGCTGATCTCCTACGGCTTCATTACTCCCAAACTTTCCAGCAGGTAACGAACACAAACATTCTCCTCATTTCTATCACTCCACCATCTGGTTTAGACAACATCACCTTCACCTCGGAAGCTGTGTTGAAGCAGTTGTTATCCTTGCGTATCCACAGTTCTCCCGGAGCTGATAACATCCGACCAAAGGCTCTTCAGGCGGTAGCTAGTGATCTAGCAGAACCACTGGCTGTTTTCTATCAGCGATGTCTAGAGGAACACCGTATTCCTCCAGTATGGAAGCAAGGGGTCATCACTCCTATCCATAAAGGAGGTAGCCGCACTGATCCTGCCAACTACCGTCCAATAACACTACTTCCAGTACTATCCAAAGTGATGAAACCAATCATCACAGACGCGCTGATACAATACCTGTAAAGCCACAATTTTATAGCCACAGAGCAACATCACTTTCGTCAAAAGCATTCGTGTAATACTAACCTATTAATTGCACGTAATATTTGGACTGAAGCCGTTGATGATGGAGCAGGAGTCAATGTCATCTATCTAGACATTTCAAAAGTGTTTGATCGCTTAGACCATCGAATTCTCCTTCAGGAGTTTTGGAATTACCGCATTGGCGACCCAATCCTGAGTTGGATTAGTAATTTTCTACAAGAATGACGGCTAGAGGTCAGAGTCCGAGAATCATTTTCTCATGCACTCGATGTGGCTTGTGGAGTACCACAAGGCTCAGTTCTTGGAGCTCGTCTATTCTTGGTGTTCATTAACGATTTGGCAAGATCAATTACTTCCGATATCATATTCTTCGCTGATGATATCAAGATATGGCGAAGCATCAGAAGACCGGACGACCGTGAAGGGCTCCAGTGTGATCTCAACACAGTGTCAAACTGGTCAGTTCAGAACGCCCTACCGTTCAACGTAGATAAATGTCGCGTTGTACAATTAGGCCATAGACATAGCTACACATATTTACTTGGGACAAACGGATTGCAGAATAGCTCCCAGGAACGTGACATTGGTATGATCGTACAGAGTGACCTCAACTGTTCAAAACAGGCTGACGTAGCTGCAAAAAGAGGCAACCAGCACGTCGGCATGCTGCGAAGGGCATTCGGGAGATTCGACCCATCAATCTTCTCAATGACGCACAATTGCTACGTGCACCCGCATGTTGAATATGCTATCCAAGTTTGGCAACCTTGGTTGAAGCGCGACCTAGAAGCGATAGAGGCACCACAACGAAGAGCAACAAGGAATGTAAAGGGCCTGCGCTATCACTCTTACCACCGAAGGCTGAATTTGCTGGGAATTTTCAGCGGACGCTATCGAAGGCTGCGCGGCGATCTCATATAAGCGTATCAGATACTGAGTGACCCCAACCACGTATGCCGCCATTTGCTGAAACCTAGTCACAACACGCAGCTCAGGGGTAACTGCCTAAATTTGAAGGAACAATATAACCGTCTACAGTGTCCACGGAATTACTTTTCCCTTCGGGTTTGCAAACCTTGGAACGCACTCCCAGACTCAGTTGTATCCTCTCCTACATTGGATGTTTTCAAAAAACGGCTAGATATTGCTCTTAGCTCCCAACACTTTGTTACCTAAACTCCTCTATTGTGGATTACGCCAAGCATGCTGTTCAACAGGATTTATGTATCAAGTGTACCTAAGTGAGTGACCATATTTTACTGTTCTCACTCCTTACCTCAACGATCACTGCACCCCAGTGTCTTTCCGAAAGTTTACGCTAGATAATTCATTTTAATTTTACACTGATGTTAATTATCAAACTATTCATCTCTGCAGATGTTCGATAGATGACCCAGACATATTTTGATTTCTTCATATTCACCGCAACCATCCTACGGGACGTGTCAAGCACTTGCTTTTATCCCGTGTTAAATCATTGTTCATTGTACAAAACTATGGTCGCAGACATAAGCCTCAAAAGAAAAGTTGTTGCTAGAGAGGCGGGCCCAGCCAATGTCCGAATACGAGATCGCAAACGTGTGTGGGTTTCCTGTGGAGTACGTGAGCTGTCTGCTACATGTGAAAGCACGAGCACGGTACAAAGTCAAACTGTTCGGAAAGCAGGCACGAGTTTTTGGCCAACGAATACAAGCCAGTTCAGGCGAGGTTTTTGGCTAGCAAATACAAGTCAGCGCCAAAGGAGGCAGTGCATTCGGCCAAATATGGAAAAACCGTGGAACCAAAATCACTGACATTGGCTGAGAGCCAGTCGCATAGCTAGGCTTCCTAAAAATAGTACGTTTCGTTACCTAATAAATACGAGCGGTCTGTCGTGTAGAATATACTCCCTGTTACCGAGTCTTGGCCCTTTTTCTGTATCCCGTTGGTTGGCTGGTGCGGGACTGAACAGTCAGACGGTCGTAGCCTAGCAGGTTCCGTGTTAAGGAAACAGTACTACAACAGTTGTCCCACCTGGGGTGAAAGCTAAATTAAATGCTAGAAGAACAATAAATTCGCGAAGCGTTGCTTATCCATGAAGATGTATTCTTTTTACTGCCATCAGTGACATGAAGCTTATATGAGATAAAAGAAGCAAATATTCACGCTGAACGTTGAAACAATTAGGTAGCTTTCTGTTGGATACAGGGGCTACGTTCAATATTTTACTTCATAATCAATGTTCTGAAGTGCAACACTACAAGGTTCAGAAGTATCATAAAATCTCGAGTGGTAAACATGTCATCCGAAGGGCAGTGTAACACAGGATCTCGTTGGTGCGAAGAATGGAACCAACCATCAGCTCACGTTTTTCGTCGTACAGTGAGATTTTGTCCCCATCGTCAAGGTTGATTCCAGCCAGCAAATTGGTTTCGTTTCTGTTAACGTGGAGCCTTTTGTGTATTCATGTTAAATAACTATTAATATCGTGCATCATTATCATAATGCCTTTGGTGAAGGATTGGGGAGATTCGACGATTGGGTACACCTATCGCTAAATGAGTCAGCTCTACCAGTCCGATTGAAGGCTAGAATAATACCAGCAGCGCTGTACGTAAAATTTTCCTAAGAGTTGGAGAATCTAACTGCACTCGGCTTTATAAGAAGGGTTGAGAAGCGTGCAGACTGTGTCTGTCAGGCGGAAATTTTTGCTAAGTATTCAGGTGATTTACGGTGTGTATGGATCCAAAACCGCTTAACACCGCCTGTAGAGCTTACCGACATTAGACGATACATTGCCCATTCTATCAACGACAAGGTTCTTCACAATGGCTTCCGAACTTTTGCATTTTGTGTTGCATGACGAATCTAGCTATCTGACGATATTTGGTAGACCATTCGGATGATTTCGGTGGTTGCGGTTGCCATTCGGTTTGAAAGTCTTCAGTGCAGTTGGCCAAAAATATTTGTTACGTCTCTCGAGGAGTTGGAATGACCTACTTGTGTGGCTGACGATGTTCTGAGATGCTGATCCACTGTATATGTGCATGACAGCACACTTGATCAGTTGCTCCAGAGATTCGCTGAAAAAATATTTAACTGAAACTTGAGCAAGTAAAACTGTGCAAACCAGACGTACTTTTTCAAGAACACGTCTTGAAATCGGGTGGATTGAAAAGCTCAGGGAACTAAAAGAAATGCCATCTAAACTGATATGAAAGGAGTCGTTCGCTTGAACTTAATGGTCAACTACCTGAGTCGGTTTTTATCAATACTGGCAGAAATAATAAAGAATACATTAGAAATAATGCCGCTTATATGTAAACTGATGCATAAAGGGGAAGAGAGGCACAGGGGCAGTAAACGAGAGAAAGAATTCAATCGATTAAAAGATCTTATTGCTGCGGCAGCTCCCATATTTGCTTACTTTGACCCATCTCTTCCCTTCGAGATTCTGTGCGACAGCAATCAGCACGAAACTGAAGCGATGTTAACGTAAAACGGAAAACCTCTGGATTATTGAAGTCAGGATTTTACACTAGCCGAACGCCTTTATGCCCAAATCGATGACATACGCACAACCAGGTTTGCGGTTGAACTGCTCAACTACTACACTTTTGGGCGAAAGATCACTGTATAAGTAAGTCAAAAGCCACTAGTGATTATGATCGAAAACCCACTCCATGTTGTGCTGTGTCGTCTTCCTAGGATGCTCATCCGGGTTCTTAACTAGGATTTGGATCGTCTACCAGCGTGGGACACAAATGTGCATCGCAGACCCACTGTTGAGAACCGGTCTTTCGGATGCAGGTCCAATGCAAGAGAACCTGGGCACGGCTCACGCGACACAGCCATTCGTTTTCACCAGAGATGATTTACCACAACTGAGACGTTAAAAGGACGAAGATACTGTTTGCAAAATGCAGTACGAACAATAGTCGGTGGATGGTCAGAAGATGAGTGGAGTTTGCCGATATAACCAACGCCGTTTGCATTTCGTGATAAACTCCTTGTAGAATACGGTTTGCTCTCCAAAGAAAATCGAGCCTTAATCCCAGTGCAATGCCCTGGACCAGTGCTCATGTGGTGGTAAACAAGCTGCACGGTCATTTCGCCCAACATGGAAGCACTGAAGACGTGGTCTCGACAACGGACCGCAGTTGACCGACGAGGAGTTCCGAGCTACCAGTAACAAGTAGGAACTTGGTTATCAGCTCAGCAGCTCCTATCATAGTCAGTTAAAAGGAATGGCTGAAGCAGCAGTGAAGGATGCAAAGAGAATACTAATCTAAGCTAAGGAGCTGAACAAGGACCCGTATATCATGCTTCTGGAAGGAAGAAACCCTCCGTCTCCGAAAATCGAAATGAGTCTTGCTCAACGTTTACCTAGCCGCAGAACGAGAACTTCGTTGCCGCTACCGAATCCTCCTCTAACCGGAAGTACAAACCCCAGCAATGCTGAATGACCGTTGCGGAAGAAGAATGGTTAGGCAGAAATGGTATTACTAACACGAATCGAAAGTTACTACCACTTCGGACCGGTAAAGTGGAATGGATACAACTGGCGCCTGGAGCAGTAAACTAGCGGAAAAAGAAGTAGTGGAAAGGCGGTTGGGATAAAGAAGTTTTGTAGTCAAGGTGGGAAACTACTTGTACTGCCGAAATCACATTCACATGAGACAACCTCCGCCAAGGAGCATAACGCCGGGCGAGCAACAAAACCAGTAGGAAAGCAGTGGTGACAAAGAAAACATAAAGAAGTCACGCAGCAGAGAAGTGTGTGAAATTTCAACGACGAAGGATCCAAGACCGAAAAAGGAGTGGAGTAGTATGAACATTGTAGTAACAGTTATTGTTGCTCGCTTACGCATTTAGAGCGGACAGACAAGAGGCCGCTCGTGATTGATTGTCTGCCTCCAGTCGAGCGACAACCTCTGCACGCGTGAGAGAGAATTGCCTTGTAAGCCCACACGATTAATTAGCTTTATCGATGAACATGT